ATTTATACCCCACACCACTATAGTGGGGAGGGTATTATACGTTTGTGCTGATGTTTGTAACGCTTAAAAATATTGGTCCTACACCTACACCTTAAAGTATACCGATCTACTCAGAATCACTTTCTGAGTCGATTATGATATGTCCGTCCGTCCGTCTGTTCGGCTGGCTGTCCATGTAAACCTTGTGCGCAAACTACAGGCCACAATTTTCAAGATATTTTGATAAAATTTGGACCATACTATTTTTTTGTCAAAAGGATGCCTATTGAAAATGGTTGAAATCGGTCCATTATTTCACCTTTATATAAAATTACATTCCTCTTTCGAATTTGTTGAGGATCGGCTCTTATTTGACCCTAACTCCCATATAAAGCCTCTTTTAGAAATTTAGTTTTTCATCAATAAATTGCTTAAATATATCGGAATTAAGGTAACATTCATAAGTTTCTTTATGAAAAATAAATAATTTTTAAAAAATACCCATGGTGTAGGATATCCTATAGTCGGCCATGTCGGACTATACTTTCCTACTTGTTTTGTATCTGATTCTTTAAGTCTGGCTCTAGCAGCGGTCGTACATACACACATATTATTTTAACATTCTGTTCTAGTTCTAGTTCAAGTTCAGTTCTAGTTCAGTTCAAGTTCAGTTCTAGTTCAGTTCTAGTTCAGTTCAGTTCTAGTTCAGTTCTAGTTCAGTTCTAGTTCAGTTCTAGTTCAGTTCTAGTTCAGTTCTAGTTCAGTTCTAGTTCAGTTCTAGTTCAGTTCTAGTTCAGTTCTAGTTCAGTTCTAGTTCAGTTCTAGTTCAGTTCTAGTTCAGTTCTAGTTCAGTTCTAGTTCAGTTCTAGTTCAGTTCTAGTTCAGTTCTAGTACAGTTCTAGTTCAGTTCTAGTTCAGTTCTAGTTCAGTTCTAGTTCAGTTCTAGTTCAATTCTAGTTCAGTTCTAGTTCAGTTCTAGTTCAGTTCAGTTCTAGTTCAGTTCTAGTTCAGTTCTAGTTCAGTTCTAGTTCAGTTCTAGTTCAGTTCTAGTTCAGTTCTAGTTCAGTTCTAGTTCAGTTCTAGTTCAGTTCTAGTTCAGTTCTAGTTCAGTTCTAGTTCAGTTCTAGTTCAGTTCTAGTTCAGTTCTAGTTCAGTTCTAGTTCAGTTCTAGTTCAGTTCTAGTTCAGTTCTAGTTCAGTTCTAGTTCAGTTCTAGTTCAGTTCTAGTTCAGTTCTAGTTCAGTTCTAGTTCAGTTCTAGTTCAGTTCTAGTTCAGTTCTAGTTCAGTTCTAGTTCAGTTCTAGTTCAGTTCTAGTTCAGTTCTAGTTCAGTTCTAGTTCAGTTCTAGTTCAGTTCTAGTTCAGTTGTAGTTCAGTTCTAGTTCAGTTCTAGTTCAGTTCTAGTTCAGTTCTAGTTCAGTTCTAGTTCAGTTCTATTTCAGTTCTAGTTCAGTTTTAGTTCAGTTCTAGTTCAGTTCTAGTTCAGTTCTAGTTCAGTTCAGTTCTTGTTCAGATCTACTTCGGTTCTAGTTCAGTTCTAGTTCAGTTCTAGTTCAGTTATAGTTCAGTTCTAGTTCAGTTCTAGTTCAGTTCAGTTCTAGTTCAGTTCTAGTTCAGTTCTAGTTCAGTTCTAGTTCAGTTCTAGTTCAGTTCTAGTTCAGTTCTAGTTCAGTTCTAGTTCAGTTCTAGTTCAGTTCTAGTTCAGTTCTAGTTCAGTTCTAGTTCAGTTCTAGTTCAGTTCTAGTTCAGTTCTAGTTCAGTTCTAGTTCAGTTCTAGTTCAGTTCTAGTTCAGTTCTAGTTCAGTTCTAGTTCAGTTCTAGTTCAGTTCTAGTTCAGTTCTAGTTCAGTTCTAGTTCAGTTCTAGTTCAGTTCTAGTTCAGTTTTAGTTCAGTTCTAGTTCAGTTCTAGTTCAGTTCTAGTTCAGTTCTAATTTAGTTCAAGTTCAGTTCTAATTCAGTTCTAGTTCAATTCTAGTTCAGTTCTAGTTTAGTTCTAATTCAGTTCTAGTTCAATTCTAGTTTGGTTCTGGTTAATTTCAGTTCTAGTTTCAATTTCAATTCATTTCTTGTTCAGTTCTTTTTCCATGCAAGTTCAGTTCCTATCTAGAATTTTATTTTTATATCATATTAATATTAATTTTTATTATTATCATTTTCTTTCAACGATGAGCTCATTAAAGATTAATTACAATCGCAATACATTTGTCCAAAAATGTTTCTAACTCTTAGATCTACATTTAAGAGACAATAAATGAGCGAATAATTTTAAGAAAAGTCTTTTCCCATAGAAAGAGTATGAACTAAGTTGAAAAATTTAATTTAATTTTCTCTTTAAATAATAGTTGATTCAGAACAGCATTTTCTACCCGAACAAGAGTTTTTTAACATTTTTGTTGTTTTTTTTTTATATAAAATTTTATTTAATTTACCTAGAAAAGTTTTTTATTTTTACTATTTATACAAGATTGCCTAAATCTAACTTAAACTTACTTAATTTAGCTTTAATTCTAATGTCTCTCTATATTACGACCCTTCTCCAATAAATCCCGAAATGATTTGATTTCATGACGCGGTATCTGTTGGCGATATTTCAGATGTAATAGACCATAAATAAAGTCCAATTCACATTCTTCGTCATGACGACCTTCTGGCAATTTGGCTAAGAGGGCACGTTTAGTACATATGAAAGTATCGATGGCTTCTCGTTCACCCTGTTTCTGTTCAAATATTTCCAAATATATTTGATACGATGGCTTGGTGGGTGAGAAATGTTCACGCAGTAAACGTATAGCATCCTCCCAGGTTTTGGCCTCTCTCCTTACACCCTTCCACCAGGTAATGGCTAAACCGGTGAAGAGCAAAGATATACCTTTTAAGGCATCTTTATCGGAAATTTGTTCCACTTCTTTATAGGTTTCGACGGCATCTACAAACACTTCGACAGCATCGTGATCTCGTTGACCCGAAAATCTTGTGGGACAGTTGGCAAAACTACCTTTGGATTTCTTCTCCTCTGCCTCGTTCTCTTTGGAATCGGGTGCTAGTGAACGTATAGTTTCGATTAATATTCGAAATTGTTCATCGGACATTTGTGTCATTGTGTAGCTGTTTGTCTGTCTGTCTGTATGTTTGTTTCACAGTTAAAGAGACACTAAAAGTTGTAGCAAAACAACAGACGATTTTAAATAGGTATTTCTTTGGGTTGTGAAATACATATAATTTTTTCTTGTTCTTGTTTTTTTTTTTTCATTTCAACTTTAGTACATAAAATGTCCAATGTAATGACTCACTTTTTGAATACAAAATACGCCCGTAAATGCGAAATAGGGAGAGTAATTTGCTTAAAATGAGAAACTTGTTCTCTCTAATTTAACTATAGCCAAACCAAATGGGTCATTTTGGGTACGAAAATGAGAGAGAAATGAGAGTTTTTCTCTACTAATCATTAGCAGGGAACCCAGGGTTACCCAGGTACCAAAGAGGGATTTTATGAAATGAAATATGATTAATCCATTTAAAAGAATTTCTAAAATATTTCCCATTTAATTACTTCCTGGAATCATTTCATGGATAATTTCCCAAACTTAGAAACATCAAGTCAAATATTCTAAGAAATATTTTTATTTTTACTACGAGTTATAATCATCAAATTAATGCACTGGATCGAATCTCATTACTGATCATTATTATAATGTTGGCATCTCTACAATTTAATTGCAGGTAGTGCTAGAAAGAGTGGACCGGAGAGTCAAAGTTTAGCTCTATTATATACAAATATACAATTGATTTATCGAAATTTTTTTTAATAACAATCATAAAATAAATTCCATTCATGTGCTTAATTATCATGGTAGTTTTTTTTTTAGTTAACGTTATCGTTTTTTATTTCCAAAAAACACAAACATTTTATTATTTGTAGGCGGTCAGATTTTTTTTGTATGGGGAGGGGAACCCCTTTGCTTTTAAGCACTTGGTAGTTTCTAACAAAAGTTTTTATGTGAAAATTACAAAAAAAAAAAAAAAACATTTTTATGTACATTAATGTGGCCCCTTTTAGAATACAGTTTAACGATTTCATAATGATATTTCTTATTTTAGAAATTAGTTCTAGATTATTTGTTCTAATTGAGTTCTAGTTTAGTTCTTTACAGTTCTAGTTTAGTTTTAGTTCAGTTCTAAAACAGTTGTAGTTCAGTTCTAGTTCAGATCTAGTTCAGTTCTAGTTTAGTTCTAGTTCAGTTCTAAGTCAGTTTTAGTTCAGTTCTAGTTCTTGTTCAGTTGTAATTCAGTTCTAAAACATTTGTAGTTCAGTTCAAGTTCAGTTTTAGTTCAGATCTAGTTCAGTTGTAGTTCAGCTCTAGTTCAGTTCAAGTTCAGCTCTATTCAGCTCTAGTTCAGTTATTGTTCAGTTCTAGTTCAGTTCCAGTTCAGTTCTAGTTCAGTTCTAGTTCAGTTCTAGTTCAGTTCTAGTTCAGTTCTAGTCAGTTCTAGTTCAGTTCTAGTTCAGTTCTAGTTCAGTTCTAGTTCAGTTCTAGTTCAGTTCTAGTTCAGTTCTAGTTCAGTTCTAGTTCATTCAGTTCTAGTTCAGTTCTAGTTCAGTTCTAGTTCAGTTCTAGTTCAGTTCTAGTTCAGTTCTAGTTCAGTTCTAGTTCAGTTCTAGTTCAGTTCTAGTTCAGTTCTAGTTCAGTTCTAGTTCAGTTCTAGTTCAGTTCTAGTTCAGTTCTAGTTCAGTTCTAGTTCAGTTCTAGTTCAGTTCTAGTTCAGTTCTAGTTCAGTTCTAGTTCAGTTCTAGTTCAGTTCTAGTTCAGTTCTAGTTCAGTTCTAGTTCAGTTCTAGTTCAGTTCTAGTTCAGTTCTAGTTCAGTTCTAGTTCAGTTCTAGTTCAGTTCTAGCTCAGTTCTAGTTCAGTTCTAGTTCAGTTCTAGTTCAGTTCTAGTTCAGTTCTAGTTCAGTTCTAGTTCAGTTCTAGTTCAGTTCTAGTTCAGTTCTAGTTCAGTTCTAGTACAGTTCTAGTTCAGTTCTAGTTCATTTCTAGTTCAGTTCTAGTTCAGTTCTAGTTCAGTTCTAGTTCAGTTCTAGTTCAGTTCTAGTTCAGTTCTAGTTCAGTTCTAGTTCAGTTCTAGTTCAGTTCTAGTTCAGTTCTAGTTCAGTTCTAGTTCAGTTCTAGTTCAGTTCTAGTTCAGTTCTAGTTCAGTTCTAGTTCAGTTCTAGTTCAGTTCTAGTTCAGTTGTAGTTCAGTTGTAGTTCAGTTCTAGTTCAGTTCTAGTTCAGTTCTAGTTCAGTTCTAGTTCAGTTCTAGTTCAGTTCTAGTTCAGTTCTAGTTCAGTTCTAGTTCAGTTCTAGTTCAGTTCTAGTTCAGTTCTAGTTCAGTTCTAGTTCAGTTCTAGTTCAGTTCTAGTTCAGTTCTAGTTCAGTTCTAGTTCAGTTCTAGTTCAGTTCTAGTTCAGTTCTAGTTCAGTTCTAGTTCAGTTCTAGTTCAGTTCTAGTTCAGTTCTAGTTCAGTTCTAGTTCAGTTCAGTTCTAGTTTAGTTCCGTTCTGGTTCAGCTCTAGACGGTCCCTATGATTGTCGTCCACGAAGCATTCAATTACGCTAAGAACTATTTTCTTACATATTTGTAGGAAATATCGTTTGTTCTATTGGGGACCCCTTAATATACTTACGTATTACGCAGTTAAATTATGTTAAAATAAAACAAAAAATGTATCCATTAAGTTGTTTTCTAAAAAAATATTTCTAATAAAAATCAATACCAAAAACTTTTATATAATATGTAAAATTGTTAAGGCTTTATATCTCGAAATAATGTTTTTTGATTTATGAACCCATTGGAACCTTAATGTCTAGTGTCATTTTTTCTCTATAAAATATCTAGATTTTGATTTGTTAAGATTATTACCCACGAGTTTATTCCCATGCTTTGGTATATAAGAGGAATTAAACTTACAGAGAGTTTATTATTAAGAATAGGAAATTCTCTATGTCTTATAAAGAATTTGTAAACATTTTTAAATGGATTCAGTTATAGGTATGAACATAAAATAATCTAGAAATCTAGTGATTCTAGGAATTGTGGACTCAAGTTGTACAAATTCTATAATTTACATGTAATTATTTCAATGTACTTAGTTTGTAATCAGAAATTTCTAGATAATCTAGGACCCTATTGACTAATTGTTCAAGGATTTGTGGACTTTAAGCATTAAAGTTTTTTTTTTTAGTTCTGTCTATGAGTCAGGCAATATAAATAAGTATATGTTTAAATGTCGAATGCTATTTTTTGCATAAACTTTTCCAAATTTGGCACAAAAACAATGGCAAAATCTGCTTTGAAAATTATGTACATAATTTAAGTTTGATTTTTTTTTTTTTTAAATTAATAAAATTATTAATTAAATAAAAACTAAAAATAAAATGTCCCTAAATGCTGAAAGAAACGTTGATTTCTTTTTAAAATATTGGAACTAGTTTTATGAAAAGTAAGTTAGTGCGTCATTTGGTGGTGGATGGTTTTGTTTAAAATTCATATTCACAATTTCACCATCTATTGTAAACAATAACAAAATTATATTCATGTATGCATATGGAACACATACATACATACATTTTATTTATAGTTCAGACATCAACGACCTCATAAGCCACTATAAAAATATTTCAAATCAAAGTTATCAAAGTAAACCACCAGCCGGTAAAGAAAATTTTTAATAGCTATGATCTGAAATATGAAATTTTCATTTTTCTTCCTAAAACTGATCAGCTTATAAATTTCAGAAATTTTGTTAGTTCCGCTAGAATATATTAAATTCAATTTCTATTCCATTAGATTTGAATTCAAGACCCTTGCCAGTTCTATTATAGTAGAGTGCGCAAAAAAACAATACATACTCTTTGAAACATTTCCATATATATAATAGAATTCTTGGAAATAGTCGGTTTTGTGACCAAATTAGCGCTCTTTTAAAAAGAGCTATTTTATTTCTTTTAAATTAACTTTTGGAGAGTGAGAGCAAATAAATAAGTTCCTAAAATTACCAAATTTTTTGTAATAAACGAGAGCTTCTTTTTGAAGAAAACCAAAAAAGTTTCCAAATTTTGTTCTAGAAATTCTAGAAGAAAAAAATATAAATTTCTACTCATAAATTATTTATTTATTTGTTAACATTTCTTTTTAACTAAATATAATTAAATATTGATAAAAAAATAGATAACATAAAATTTTAGTATTTCAAACACAATCAATAAATGATAAGATTTGTTTTCATACCAACAAACAATAATGCTAATTTGGCGGTTTTTTTTTTAATGAAACATTATGGGATTTAATTGGAAATAAAAAATCTATACTACAACATATTTTACATATTTTCAGAACCAGTTTCTTTTTGGGCAGGAAGTTACCCACTGAAGTAGTATTGCTTTCTAACTTAGTTGTAGTTCGGTTCTAGTTTAGTTTTAGTTCAGATATAGTTCAGTTCTAGTTCAGTTCTATTTCAGTTCTAGTTCAGTTCTAGTTCAGTTCTATTTCAGTTCTAGTTCAGTTCTAGTTCAGTTCTAGTTCAGTTCTACTTCAGTTCTACTTCAGTTCTAGTTCAGTTCTAGTTCAGTTCTAGTTCAGTTCTAGTTCAGTTCTAGTTCAGTTCTAGTTCAGATCTAGTTCAGATCTAGTTCAGTTCTAGTTCAATTCTAGTTCGATTCTAGTTCAGTTCTAGTCCAGTTCTAGTTCAGTTCTAGTTCAGTTCTAGTTCAGTTCTAGTTCAGTTCTAGTTCAGTTCTAGTTTAGTTCTAGTTCAGTTCTAGTTCAGTTCTAGTTCAGTTCTAGTTCAGTTCTAGTTCAGTTCTAGTTCAGTTCTAGTTTAGTTCTAGTTCAGTTCTAGTTCAGTTCTAGTTCAGCTCTAGTTCAGTTCTAGTTCAGTTCTAGTTCAGTCCTAGTTCAGTTCTAGTTCAGTTCTAGTTCAGATCTAGTTCAGATCTAGTTCAGTTCTAGTTCAATTCTAGTTCAATTCTAGTTCAGTTCTATTTCGGTTCTAGTTCAGTTCTAGTTCAGTTCTAGTTCAGTTCTAGTTCAGTTCTAGTTCAGTTCTAGTTCAAATCTAGTTCAGTTCTAGTTCAAATCTAGTTCAGTTCTAGTTCAGTTCTATTTCAGTTCTAGTTCAGTTCTAGTTCAGTTCTAGTTCAGTTCTAGTTCAGTACTAGTTCAGTTCTAGTTCAGTTCTAGTTCAGTTCTAGTTCAGTTCTAGTTCAGTTCTAGTTCAGTTCTAGTTCAGTTCTAGTTCAGTTCTAGTTCAGTTCTAGTTCAGTTCTAGTTCAGTTCTAGTTCAGTTCTAGTTCAGTTCTAGTTCAGTTCTAGTTCAGTTCTAGTTCAGTTCTAGTTCAGTTCTAGTTCAGTTCTAGTTCAATTCTAGTTCAGTTCTAGTTCAGTTCTAGTTCTAGTTCAGTTCTAGTTCAGTTCTAGATCAGTTCTCGTTTCTATTTTCGTTCTAAATCATTTCTACTTTAGTTCTAGTTTAATTATAGTTCAGTTTTAGATCAGTTCTAGCAAAGACCTATTTCAGTTTTAGTTCATTTCTATTTCAGTTCTTTATACCTATTTTCAACTATTGAAACGCATATAAAAACTACCTGCTAATATAAAATGTAGAAATGTACAAATAGGCAGATTAGCATTTTCCAGATGCCCTAATGATGGGATTTTCCAAACTAAATGATAGTTTTTATAATAAAAACAGCTTAAAGATTTTGAATTAAAAAATTTAATCCACTATTGTATTGACTGTGAAACACTAAAATACTTGTCATCACTGCCTAATCTAGCTAAAGGTATTATAGTGTTAAAACCGATGAGAAATATTTTTTGTTGATGATTAACGGCAACAACAACTAATTGTTACTCATCCTCTTTTCTCACGAGCCGGCTGAGGGCTATATAAACCGGTGCTAGTCGATGGTATACTTCAGTCTACTGCGAGTTTTCGTAAACGCAACGACCAACTCTAAAAACGACGGTTAAATATTATAAAATAACATTCGCCAAGCAACAAGTGGCTTTGTTATAATATACACCGTTAACCAGCAACAACAACAAAAGTGTTTAAAGTGTTAATTTTAGTTCAAAAGTATTAGAAAAACAAATTCTAACAAAATGGCTCAAATGGTGCAAATGACTACTGAACAATTACAACAACTTATCGAGGCTGTACGTGTTTCAGCTGCTAGTGGAGCAGCCGCAAATGTTGTGTCTGGAACCAAGTCCAAAGGTAGTTTCAGTAATTGTTCATCCCGCTTTGGCGGTCAACGTGATCATGAAGCTGTTGAAGAATTTATCACCTCAATTGTAACGTACAAAGAAGTGGAATCGATTAGTGATGAAGATGCCTTAAAGGGTATTTCCTTGCTGTTCTACGGTTTGGCCTCAACCTGGTGGCAGGGTGTGCGCAAGGAAGCTAAAACTTGGGATGATGTTTTGGCTTTGATACGTGATCATTTCTCGCCCACCAAACCGGCCTATCAAATCTATGTGGATATTTTCGATAAGAAACAAGATGATAAAACCGCTATCGATACTTTTGTGTGCCAGAAGAGAGCCCTATTGGCCCAATTACCCGATGGTAGACATGATGAAGAAACCGAAATTGATTTTGTCTATGGTTTGCTCAACATCAAATACCGTAAACATATTGCTCGTCAAGACTTTAAAACATTCCGTGAATTGTTGGAAAAGGGTCGTGTTATCGAGCACAATATGATGGAAGATGAGGCCAATCAACAGGGTCCTGTTAGAGGTGCCAAGGGCACTAAGAGATGTACTTACTGCAATTTCCGAGGTCATACTACTGAACAATGTCGCAAACGTAAAAATGCCGATAATGCCTCCAACAATGGCGACTAAATCAACACAACACTACAACAACTAACAACTTAACCAAAAAAGTTGAAAAACATGATGTCATTTTAACTCATCTATATACCAAAAACAGCCCTCATGGTCTTTTATAGCAAAGTACTATGAGTTTTAGGTAAATGACATCATTAAAGAGAAACCGTTAATCTCTTTTAAAATTTAATTTTATATAGGCTGCTCTTAGTTTAATGTCCCAGGTTTTTCTATACAAATTTCGAACGTTTTATTATTTTTATATAAATGTTTTATTTTTTTTTTAATTTATATAAAAATTTTAAATATTTTTAATTTGTATAGAATTACTTTAGCATTTGATTAAGGGTTACGCCTCCTCCTTATTAATATTTTACGCTAGTTTTACAAACCGGCTTTACAGGCTAAGAACGCCTGGACCTGATAAAATTTCTAAAAATCTTTTAGATTTAACAGAAATCATGTATTTTTATATACAACCATGCATACATACATATATATATATATATATATATTATAAGTCGGATATCTTTCTATATCCTTGAGCATCAGTGACTCTCTTTAAATGTTTGAATTTTTTTTAGAACTGAAATTTTTATCTAATTTTTCAAAACCCTTGACAAATTTAGAACTTGTGTCTGAAATTGTTTAAGTGTTAAAGAAAACTAAGATTTAAGTTTTATAGTTTAAAAATAATTTAAACATTTTAGGAAAGTTGCTAAAAACCGTTATATTAAGTGTTATGATAAAAAGTCTTAAAGAAAACTTTTATTTTAAAGTAAAATTTTAAAATATTTGTTTTAATTTTTCAACATAAAACAAATATTTTAATGTTTATACTTTAAGAAAATAGAAAATTTTCTTTAAGGCTTTTTCTAACATTTATTATAGCAAAAACCTTCCCCTTGGGGAAACCCCCGCATTTTGGGAAAATTTTGAAAATGTTATGATATAAATATGGCAGCAGTATGTTGCAGACAATATTATAGAAAATTATTTAAACTTAAGAATTATTTTATTTTCTTGAGGTCTTTTCTTGAAAAGTCTTAAGAATCTTAAAGTATTTTCTTTAGTGCTAAATAAGTTTTGAAAATATTGTCTGCAAACTTTCTGCTCCAGGTTTATTTGTCATTTGTTTTCTTAATTTTCTTTTAATGCAAAAAACTTTTCGCTTTGCGAAAAAAAAACTTTAAAACTGAATATTTTTTATTCAAATCAATTTGAACTAAATTGTACTACAATGGCTAGGTTGTCGCCATTCGTACAATTGGCAACACCTTATAAAGTGTTTTTAAATATTGAACATTTTTATAACACTTTTAAAGGTACGCCAGTCTTTTAATCATAAGTTAAAATTCGCTTTTGGGTTTTATGAAATCCTCCAAATCCCTTAAGGCTTTTTTAACTTTCTCTATTATCTTTATTATTAACTTTAGTTTATTTTTTTGTAAACAAACAACTCAACGACAAATAGCTTTCAACGCAGACTTATCAACAAGTCTAAATTAACTTTGTAAACATTTAACGTTTGGCGCTCCCTGGAGGTGGGCCATAATGCAACGTTTGAATGTTTTTTCTTACTTTAAATTGTCTGATTTTTTGTTTATTTTTTTGAACTTTAGTTAATATCATTATTTTTTTTTTTTAGTTATTAGCATTGCAAAAATTTGTATTTTTTATTACACAGACTTTGCATTTTTGTAAATTAGTTTTTAAGAATTTTTGAAAAAAAAGAATGAAAAAGAAACTACAGCAAAAGAAAACAAAAGCAAATTCATTATCAAAATAAATACTGAAAAAGTCAATGCTTTTTTATTAAAAAAACTAAAAATCTTTATGTGTTTTACTTGAAATTTTATTGGGTTTTCATTTTTGTGGGGTTTGACGAAGTTCCAGTAAATTCATCCCTTTGTGATATCTGAAACGAGAGAAAACGGTCAGCATATTAGTACACTTTGACCTAAGTTCTCTGGTTTCCTAAACCAAACCAGTTTGTCGCACGAATATAGGATCAACTTCTGTTAAGTCAGGCAAGAAATAGCTACCTTGCATACTCCTTGTAAGATCTGCTAGGGTCGGGGCAAGGGCAGAGGAAGTGAGTTATACTCTTTTCCTCCTCTTCATCCTGGCAGCTACTGCAGAAGTCATTACTGGCTAAGTTTAGTCTTCTTGCATGGAGTGGCCAGTCACCACCGCCATTAAGTTTCGTAGATTAACTCTCGGAATATATAGAAGGACTTGAGATTTTTGTAGGTTGAACGATGGCCCATGTGGCTATTCTCGCCTGTCTGCAGGTGGCCTGAGCCGACCATATTTGTTTACGCAGTTTGAGATCGGTATGCCGACGAAAGGGTCGGTGTGCTCTTTTGCAAAAGAGGGACCCACCTTGGTAAGAGAGTCTGCAATGGTATAACCACTAATTTGTTGATGTATTTGAATCCAGTACCGTACTATTGTGGAATGTTTCGCCATCTGATTAAGCGAGGCCCGGCATTCTAGGACAAAGTTTGAGGCTGAGTAAATAACACTTAGAGTCCTAAGGGCTGCCTGGCTATCGCTATATATTCGAAAATATTAACAACGTATATTCGGTGGTAGCTGAGCCAGTTTGGTCTGGAAGTTTTAAGGAAAATTTCATTTGAATTCACAGCGTATTCCTGTATGTCTGGAATTTCAAGTGGGCGAGGAGCCACGCCCATATTAAGAAAATATTAAAACCGTATATTTGAGATAACATAACAATTAGAGTCCTCAAATTTTGTCGGAGCCGCATTAGTTTCAATATGATTACTTCTGTCTATTGATATCATAATAGGGTCCAAACGAATAAATATATAAATATTTTTTATAAAACGTGTGCCGATATTCAAAATGGGCAATTCCCTTTCCGGGAATACAGTCATTCAATGATTATGTTGATTAATCTCTAGTCACCCCCTATAATATCCCCTTCAGAAAAAGACTTTAACGTTCATAACTGACTTAAAAATATAACTTAGTCTTACAAACGTAAACTTAGGTCCATTTTCTTTCCAAATTCATATTTCTATTAGGTCATGTTGTGAAATTGTGTTTTTTTTCAAATTTCTAAACATTCATAGACATCGAAGGAATTCGATAATTATATAGAAAACTATTACAATGCCCACTATCATGTCTATTTTATTATTTTTGAACTTCATGTATTATTTTTATTTTCCAAATTGCCCAAAATCAGTTTAAAAAGTTATATTGGCTGTTGACTGAAAGACTATATCGACAAATTGTTCTATCAATTTACAATTAACATTAATAATTGTTATTGATAAGATACGGTTTTTTATGAACAGTTCCTATTTTTATATATTTCACAACAAAATCTATGTTCCTTTCGTTATATGATTTTCCAGTGGTTGGTTTTATATTATTTTTAAATCTGGTTGGGTATAATTATTAAAAAATAACTTTATTAGTAAAATATTTTTACCACAATTATTTTACATTCAGTACAAATAGAACATTAAATTCTAAGAACTTTTTATTTATAATGTTTTTTCATATAAATTCCAATTTTTTTCCAAAAATAGCAGAGAAATATATTTAAATGCACTTTATTTGTTAAATTGATGAAATTATTTAATTAACACTTGTATTACCGATAAATGCAAAAAATTAAAAATTTACGAATACATTTTCAACATTTGAAACATAAAATATTTCTTATCTGTGTCAAAAACTAAAGTCTAGTCTATAGTGTAATATATAGTCTAGTATATAGTATAGTATATAGTCTAGTCTACATTCTAGTCTATAGTCTAGTTTATAGTCTAGTCTATAGTGTCTAGTCTATAGCGCCTAGTCTATATTCTAGTCTATAGTCTAGTCTGTAGTCTAGTCTGTAGTCTAGTCTATAGTCTAGTCTATAGTCTAGTCTATAGTCTAGTCTATAGTCTGTAGTCTAGTCTAGTCTATAGTCTAGTCTATAGTCTAGTCTATAGTCTAGTCTATAGTCTAGTCTATAGTCTAGTCTATAGTCTAGTCTATAGTCTAGTCTATAGTCTAGTCTATAGTCTAGTCTATAGTCTGTCCAGTCTATAGTCTGTCTAGTCTATAGTCTGTCTAGTCTATAGTCTGTCTAGTCTATAGTCTGTCTAGTCTATAGTCTGTCTAGTCTATAGTCTGCTAGTCTATAGTCTTAGTCTAGTCTTAGTCTATAGTCTATTCTGTCTAGTCTCTAGTCTATAGTCTAGTATAGTCTATAGTCTATAGTCTATAGTCTATAGTCTAGTCTAGTTATAGTATATAGTCTATAGTCTAGTCTATAGTCTATAGTCTATAGTCTAGTCTATAGTCTATGTCTATAGTCTATAGTCTATAGTATAGTCTATAGTCTAGTCTATAGTATAGTCTGTATAGTCTAGTCTAGTCTAGTCTAGTCTAGTCTAAGTCTAGTCTAGTCTAGTCTATTAGTCTAGTTAGTCTAGTCTATAGTCTAGTCTAGTCTATAGTCTAGTCTAGTCTATAGTCTAGTCTAGTCTATAGTCTAGTATGTCTTATAGTCTAGTCTAGTTAGTCTATAGTCTAGTCTTAGTCTAGTCTATAGTCTAGTCTATACGTCTAGTCTATAGTCTAGTCTATAGTCTAGTCTATAGTCTAGTCTATAGTTAGTCTATAGTCTAGTCTTAGTCTAGTCTATAGTCTAGTCTATAGTCTAGTCTATAGTCTAGTCTATAGTCTAGTCTATAGTCTATCTAGTCTAGTCTATAGTCTAGTCTATAGTCTAGTCTAGTCTAGTCTATAGTCTAGTCTATAGTCTAGGTCCTATCTATTCTATAGTCTAGTCTATAGTCTAGTCTATAGTCTAGTCTATAGTCTAGTCTATAGTCTAGTCTATAGTCTAGTCTATAGTCTAGTCTATAGTCTAGTCTATAGTCTAGTCTATAGTCCTAGTCTATAGTCTAGGTCTATAGTCTAGTCTATAGTCTAGTCTATAGTCTAGTCTATAGTCTAGTCTATAGTCTAGTCTATAGTCTAGTCTATAGTCTAGTCTATAGTCTAGTCTATAGTCTAGTCTATAGTCTAGTCTATAGTCTAGTCTATAGTCTAGGTCTATAGTCTAGTCTATAGTCTAGTCTATAGTCTAGTCTGTCTATAGTCTAGTCTATAGTCTAGTCCTATAGTCTAGTCTATAGTCTAGTCTATAGTCTAGTCTATAGTCTAGTCTATAGTCTAGTCTATAGTCTAGTCTATAGTCTAGTCTATAGTCTAGTCTATAGTCTAGTCTATAGTCTAGTCTATAGTCTAGTCTATAGTCTAGTCTATAGTCTAGTCTATAGTCTAGTCTATAGGCTAGTCTATAGTCTAGTCTATAGTCTAGTCTATAGTCTAGTCTATAGTCTAGTCTATAGTCTAGTCTATAGTCTAGTCTATAGTCTAGTCTATAGTCTAGTCTATAGTCTAGTCTATAGTCTAGTCTATAGTCTAGTCTATAGTCTAGTCTATAGTCTAGTCTATAGTCTAGTCTATAGTCTAGTCTATAGTCTAGTCTATAGTCTAGTCTATAGTCTAGTCTAGTCTAGTCTAGTCTAGTCTATAGTCTAGTCTAGTCTATAGTCTAGTCTAGTCTATAGTCTAGTCTAGTCTAGTCTAGTCTATAGTCTAGTCTAGTCTAGTCTAGTCTAGTCTAGTCTAGTATAGTCTAGTCTAGTCTAGTCTAGTCTAGTCTAGTCTAGTCTAGTCTAGTCTATAGTCTAGTCTAGTCTATAGTCTAGTCTAGTCTATAGTCTAGTCTAGTCTATAGTCTAGTCTAGTCTATAGTCTAGTCTATAGTCTAGTCTAGTCTATAGTCTAGTCTATAGTCTAGTCTAGTCTACAGTCTAGTCTAGTCTATAGTCTAGTCTATAGTCTAGTCTAGTCTATAGTCTAGTCTAGTCTATAGTCTAGTCTAGTCTATAGTCTAGTCTATAGTCTAGTCTATAGTCTAGTCTATAGTCTAGTCTAGTCTATAGTCTAGTCTAGTCTATAGGCTAGTCTATAGTCTAGCCTAGTCTATAGTCTAGTCTAGTCTATAGTCTAGTCTAGTCTATAGTCTAGTCTAGTCTAGTCTAGTCTAGTCTAGTCTAGTCTAGTCTAGTCTAGTCTAGTCTAGTCTAGTCTAGTCTAGTCTAGTCTATAGTCTAGTCTAGTCTATAGTCTAGTCTAGTCTATAGTCTAGTCTATAGTCTAGTCTAGACTAGTCTATAGTCTAGTCTAGTCTATAGTCTAGTCTATAGTCTAGTCTATAGTCTAGTCTATAGCCTAGTCTATAGTCTAGTCTATAGTCTAGTCTATAGTCTAGTCTATAGTCTAGTCTATAGTCTAGTCTATAGTCTAGTCTATAGTCTAGTCTATAGTCTAGTCTATAGTCTAGTCTATAGTCTAGTCTATAGTCTAGTCTATAGTCTAGTCTATAGTCTAGTCTATAGTCTAGTCTATAGTCTAGTCTATAGTCTAGTCTATAGTCTAGTCTATAGTCTAGTCTATAGTCTAGTCTATAGTCTAGTCTATAGTCTAGTCTATAGTCTAGTCTATAGTCTAGTCTATAGTCTAGTCTATAGTCTAGTCTATAGTCTAGTCTATAGTCTAGTCTATAGTCTAGTCTATAGTCTAGTCTATAGTCTAGTCTATAGTCTAGTCTATAGTCTAGTCTATAGTCTAGTCTATAGTCTAGTCTATAGTCTAGTCTATAGTCTAGTCTATAGTCTAGTCTATAGTCTAGTCTATAGTCTAGTCTATAGTCTAGTCTATAGTCTAGTCTATAGTCTAGTCTATAGTCTAGTCTATAGTCTAGTCTATAGTCTAGTCTATAGTCTAGTCTATAGTCTAGTCTATAGTCTAGTCTATAGTCTAGTCTATAGTCTAGTCTATAGTCTAGTCTATAGTCTAGTCTATAGTCTAGTCTATAGTCTAGTCTATAGTCTAGTCTATAGTCTAGTCTATAGTCTAGTCTATAGTCTAGTCTATAGTCTAGTCTATAGTCTAGTCTATAGTCTAGTTTATAGTCTAGTCTAGTCTGTAGTCTAGTCTTTAGTCTAGTCTATAGTCTAGTCTTTAGTCTAGTCTATGGTCTAGTCTTTAGTCTAGGCTATTGTCTAGTCTTTAGTATATTCTATAGTCTAGTCTTTAGTCTAATCTATAGTCTTGTCTATAGTCTAGTCTATATAGTATAGGTTAAAGAATGGTCTTCACTATAAAACTAAACTATTGCTAAACAATTTCACAATAGTTCTTTGATTTTATTTGTTGTTTACAATACAGAGCTATTGTATTTAAAGTGTTAAAAATAATCAAAAAGCTCTAAAAATTACTAATACTCTAGAAAAACAACAATTTATCTGCCAACGTATGCCGGCAATTGACTATATAAACTAGCGCTATTTCAGAAAACACTTTAGTCTACTGCGAGTTTTCATAAACGTAACGACCACATTTTAAATTTCAATAATAAATTCAAAATAACATTCGCCAGAACCGTGGCTTTGTTATTGCCTATAACAAATTATTTTAAATTAAAAGTGTTAAAATAAAACTTCTATAAAATGGCTCAAATGGTGCAAATGACTACTGAACAATTACAACAACTGATCGAATCGGTACGTGCTTCTGCTGGCGCAGGAACTGTGGTTGCTGCCGCCAAGTCCAAAGGAAGTTTTAGTAATTGTTCATCTCGCTTTGGCGGTCAACGTGATCATGAAGCTGTCGAAGAATTTATTACCTCAATAGTGACCTACAAAGAAGTGGAAGCGATTAGTGATGAAGATGCCTTAAAGGGGGTGTCGTTGCTGTTCTATGGTTTGGCCTCAACCTGGTGGCAGGGTGTGCGTAAGGAAGCTAAAACTTGGAATGATGTTTTGGCCTTAATACGTGATCATTTCTCACCCACTAAACCTTCTTATCAAATTTATTTGGAAATCTTTGATAAGAAACAAGATGACAAAACCGCTATCGATACTTTTGTGTGTCAAAAGAGAGCCCTATTGGCCCAATTGCCTGATGGTAGACATGATGAAGAAACCGAAATTGATTTGGTGTATGGTCTACTCAACATCAAATACCGTAAACATATTGCTCGTCAAGACTTTAAAACATTCCGTGAATTGTTGGAAAAGGGTCGTGTTATCGAACACAATATGTTAGAAGCTGAAGGCAGTCAACAAGATAAAAGGCGTCATAGACACTAAAAGAAGTACAAGGAGATTTTAGAGGCTATATGAGGAAAGTCACAAATAGACTACTACCAACTTAAATTGTCTTAACAAAGTGGCTAAACTTGATTTCTATAAGAATTTGCCCTCATGGTCTTAGGCACCAGAGAAAATACGCTGTTTGGTAAATGACATCATTAAAGAGAAACGATTTACTCTTTTAGTATTAACTTTATATAGGCTGCTCTTAGTTTAATGTCCCAGGTTTTTCTATACAAATTTTTAACGTTTTATTATTTTTATATAAATTTTTTATTTTTTAATTTATATAAAAATCTTAAATATTTTTAATTTGTATAGTATTAACTTGAGCATTTTGCTTAAGGGTTATGTCTCCTTATTAATATTTTACGCTAGTTTTATAAACCGGCTTTACAGGCTAAGAACGCCTGGACCTGATAAAATTTCTAAAAATCTTTTAGATTTAACAGAAATCATGTATTTTTATATACAACCATGCATACATACATATATATATATATATATATATTATAAGTCGGATATCTTTCTATATCCTAGAGCATCAGTGACTCTCTTTAAATGTTTGAATTTTTTTTAGAACTGAAATTTTTATCTAATTTTTCAAAACCCTTGACAAATTTAGAACTTGTGTCTGAAATTGTTTAAGTGTTAAAGAAACTAAGATTTAAGTTTTATAGTTTAAAAATAATTTAAACATTTTAGGAAAGTTGCTAAAAACCGTTATATTAAGTGTTATGATAAAAAGTCTTAAAGAAAACTTTTATTTTAAAGAAAAATTTTAAAATATTTGTTTTAATTTTTCAAAATAAAACAAATATTTTAATGTTTATGCTTTAAGAAAATAGAAAATTTTCTTTAAGGCTTATTCTAACACTTATTATAGCAAAAACCTTCCCCTTGGGGAAACCCCCGCGTTTTGAGAAAATTTCGAAAATGTTATGATATAAATATGGCAGCAGCATGTTGCAGACGATATTATAGAAAATTATTTAAGCTTAAGAATTATTTTATTTTCTTAAGGTCTTTTCTTGAAAAGTCTTAAGAATCTTAAAGTATTTTCTTTGGTGCTAAATAAGTTTTGAAAATATTGTCTCCAAACTTTCTGCTCCAGGTTTATTTGTCAATTGTTTTCTTAATTTTCTTTTAATGCAAAAACTTTTCGCTTTGCGAAAAAAAAAAAACTTTAAAACTGAATATTTTTTATTCAAATCAATTTGAACTAAATTGTACTACAATGGCTAGGTTGTCGCCATTCGTACAATTGGCAACACCTTATAAAGTGTTTACAAATGTTTAACATTTTTATAACACTTTTAAAGGTACGCCAGTCTTTTAATCATAAGTTAAGAATTGCTTTTGGGTTTTATGAAATCCTCCAAATCCCTTAAGGCTTTTTTAACTTTCTCTATTATCTTTATTATTTACTTAAGTTTATTTTTTGTAAACAAACAACTCAACGACAAATAGCTTTAAACGCAGACTTATTAACAAGTCTAAATTAACTTTGTAAACATTTAACGTTTGGCGCTCCCTGGAGGTGGGCCATAATGCAACGTTTTGAATGTTTTTTCTTACTTAAAATTGTCTAGTTTTTTGTTTATTTTTTTGAACTTTAGTTAATATCATTATTTTTTTTTTTAGTTATTAGCATTGCAAAAATTTGTATTTTTTATTACACAGACTTTGCATTTTTGTAAACTAGTTTTTAAGAATTTTTGAAAAAAAGAATGAAAATGAAACTACAGCAAAAGAAAACAAAAGCAAATTCATCATC